GGGGGGGGGGGGGCACTGAGCTCCCGGCGGAAGGACACCCGCGCCATGTCCAGGACCCACTGCTCCTGGTCGGGATGCAGGCCCACTTCCCTTCCCTTCCCAAGCTCGGGGCTCACCTGCTCCAGCAGCCGTGTGTCTGCCAAGCCTGTTATTTCAGATATATGTGATACGATGCCTTTCCTCCGTCTCCATTTCTTTTAAGGAAGTTCTGAGTGTGTGAGGCTTCTTATTGACGTTGGAGCCAACCTGGAAGCGCACGACTGCCACTTTGGGACCCCTCTGCACGTGGCCTGCGCCCGGGAGCATCTGGACTGCGTCAAAATGCTGCTCAACGCAGGTGCGTCATGTTTATACCTGCCCGGCTCACTGCGGGTGCATTGTGTTCACCTGTGCTGCGAGCTGGCACAGAGCTGACTGGTGCAGTCAGGCAGCCCAGGTTTGCAGCTGGTTCTCCCACTTGTCAGCTGAGTCCTTGGGCCTCAGTTTCTGCATCTATAAAACTGGACAAATAAAACTTATTTTGCAGGACTGTTGGGAGGATTCGTGATAACATTTCCACAGTATTTGCTGCACAGTAGGTGCTCAACGAACACGAATGATTATTTTTGGCAGCCGCGGGGGATTGTCCCCAAGGCCTGCCTGGTCTGAATCAGGAGATGGGGTCCAGGGGAAGCGGGTCAGTTGCATCAGGATCCAGGAGGCTGTCAGGTGTCCTAAGGATAGAGAGGTTCCCATGGTGAAAAACAAAAACAAAATAAAAAGAACCCACCAAGAGACTTCCCTCGTGGCACAGTGGTTAAGAATCCACCTGCCAATGCAGGGGACATGGGTGCGATCCCTGTTCTGGGAAGATCCCACATGCCACGGAGCAACTAAGCCCGTTCACCATAACTACTGAGCCTGCGCGCCACAACTACTGAGCCCATGCACCTAGAGCCTGGGCTGTGCGACAAGAGAAGCCCGCGCACCACAACAAAGAGTAGCCCCCGCTCGCCACTAGAGAAATCCCGCGCACAGCAACGAAGACTCAACGCAGCCAAAAGTAAATAAATTAATGTATTAAAAACAAACAAACAACCTGCCCAACTGAAGCTAGAGTCAGGACCTGTCGACCACAGAAGTTTTAAAATGTAGCTGAAGCGGCTATGGGCAAGGAGTTATTATGAACCCAACTTAAAATTTTTTTTTCAAGATTTTCTTTATAAAGTAGGGTCACATCTAATGCATTCTTTTTTTTCTTTAATTAATTTACTTACTTTTGGCTGCATTGGGTCTTCGTTGCTGCGCGTGGGCTTTCTTGTGGTGAGCGAGGGCTACTCTTCGTTGCGGTGCACGGGCTTCTCATTGCAGTGGCTTCTCTTGTTGCAGAGCACGGGCTCTAGGTGTGTGGGCTTCAGTAGTTGTGGCGCATGGGCTTAGTTGCTCTGCGGCATGTGGGATCTTCCCGGACCAGGGCTTCAACCCGTGTCTCCTGCACTGTCAGGCGGATTCTTAACCACTGTGCCACCAGGGAAGCCCCCAATTTAAATGTTTTGTTGAGGGAACATTTTAGCTCAGCCATCTTGTCCATTCTGGGGGCAACCTAGGGAAAAACCAAAATGGTTCAGAAACAGAGGATGAATTCTTTTTGGATGACAGTCTTTTGAGCATCAGTTATATACAGTTTTCTACTACTGAGTCTTATTCTCTTTAACATGCCACTCTTAAGTCTTTTCAGTGAACACGCTTCATTTCGTGTAAGGTTAGTCACTGGGGCAGTTTTTGTTTTTTATGCAAAGATTAAATATCTAGATTAGAAACAGTGGGTCTTCCAGCCGAGTCGCTCACGGGATGGTTGGATCCCGTTTTTGCCAACGGCATCTATCTATTGTTCCTGTTGAGTTTTTTTTTTTTTTTTTTTTTTTTTTTTTTTTTTTT